CACAGTTTCGTCAACTACTTCTTCTATTGGGCCTTCAGTCACAGTCGTCACAGGTCTCTTACCTTGTTCTTCAACTGTGACTACTTCAGTCACTTGTTGTTCCTTACCCTTGCGTTTGATTACCTTCTTCTTGGTTGTCTTCTTGGGTTTACCTTCTTTAGTAATCTCTTCGGTAACTGTGACCTGTTCACGAACTTCTTCGACTTCAGAAGGTTGGACATATTCTAGCATTGGAAGAGGCTTAACTACTTCGTCAACTACTTCTTCTGTGGGACCTTCAGTGACAGTTGTAACAGGTCTCTTACCCTGTTCCTCGACTGTCACTATTTCAGTGACTTGTTGTTCTTTACCCTTGCGCTTAATAACCTTCTTCTTGGTGGTCTTCTTTGGTTTGCCTTCTTTGGTGATTTCCTGAGTAACAGTGACCTGTTCTCGAACTTCTTCCACTTCTCCAGGTTTGGCATATTCTGGCACTGGCAGAGATTTCACTGCCTCGTCAACTACTTCTTCCAGAGGACCTTCAGTCACGGTTGTAACAGGAGCTTTGCCTTGTTCCTCAACGGTGACTACTTCAGTAACTTGTTGGTCTTTACCCTTGCGTTTAATTATCTTCTTCTTGACAGTCTTCTTTGGTTTGCCTTCCTTAGTAACTTCCTCAGTGACAGTAACTTGTTCTCGTACCTCTTCTACTTCAGTTGGTTTGATACGTTCTGGCGCAGGCAACGGTTTAATTATTTCTTCCACTAGTTCTTCCACTGGTCCTTCAGTGACAGTAGTAACCGGTGCTTTTCCTTGTTCTTCTACGGTAACTACTTCAGTTACCTGCTGTTCTTTTCCTTTGCGCTTGATCACTTTCTTTTTGGTAACCTTCTTTGGCTTGCCTTCTCTGGTTACTTCTTCAGTAACCGTCACTTGTTCACGAACCTCCTCCACTTCAGATGGTTTGACAAATTCTGGAGTAGGCAGTGGTTTCATCACATCCTCGACAACCTCTTCCACGGGTCCTTCTGTTACAGTTGTAACAGGTACTTTACCTTGCTCTTCAACTGTAAGGATCTCCGTAACTTGCTGTTCCTTTCCTTTACGCTTGATAATTTTTTTCTTAGTTGTTTTCTTTGGTTTGCCTTCCCTGGTGATTTCTTGTGTTACTGTAACTTGTTCACGGACTTCTTCAACTTCTGATGGTTTGACATATTCTGGTGCAGGAAGTGGTTTCACTACTTCATCGACTACTTCTTCAACAGGACCTTCTGTCACAGTTGTCACCGGTCTCTTACCCTGTTCTTCAACTGTAACTATTTCAGTTACCTGTTGCTCTTTGCCCTTGCGTTTGATTACCTTCTTCTTGGTTGTCTTTTTCGGTTTTCCTTCTTTGGTAACCTCCTGAGTAACAGTGACTTGTTCCCGAACTTCTTCCACTTCCCCAGGT